CATAAGCAATATAGTCATTTTTAATAAAATCAATCTAATAAAATATGTACAGTCAACTTTTGTTATAACGAACTCTATATCCTAGACCTCAACTTCGCTATAAGGCTATAATGAAGTTTTTAAGAGATTTGATTGGCCAATTTGCTATAACAAGAGTATTTTTATTATATTTGTTCAAAAAATTCATTATAACAAGAGTTCACTATAATAAGAGTTGACTGTATAAAGTCATATTAAAAAAAATTTTAATGAAATTGAAGTAGAAGATGATGGTGATTAGTTAGAAACTGATGAAAATAAATCAAATGATCTTCATATTAACAAACATTTTATATTATGATAAAGAAATCATATTTTTTTTTAATGATTATTATATGAAAAAAAGGATTTAAATATAGAATAAAACATTTAAAAAAATGGAGATAATGATACAATAAAATGAACTTTTTTATGTAAATATATAGATATATTCAAATCAAATAAAATAGCTAATCTTAATAAATAGAGAAATAGAAATTTTTATAAGTTAATTGCTTATAGCATATTAATATTAATAAAAAGAAGAAGAGCTTATAAGTGATAATATTTGTTAATGAATATAGAGACCATATTCTTAATTTACAAACTGTCAAATTTTTACTTTATTTTTGAAATCTAACTGATAAAATATTATCTAATATTCATTTTTAAATACTTAAAAATAATCTTAAAATTACTAAATAATATAAAATGCTTATAAACAAGTATCAATATTTTATTATTAAAAAAATTTATTGCAATCTATATGTTTTGACGTAAAAAGTACTAACAAAAAATAATACATTTAATCTTCTTAATTTTTATTAAAAAAAATTAATAATTAAAATAAGTTATAGAATATCAAATAAATCTAATAATACAAGCTCTTACATATTTATTATAGATGGAATCATTATAAGTAGAATTATATATTTATCTGTTATTGTATATAATAATATTATAAAAACTAGTATTTATAATCTTTCACTTTTTATTTTTATAATTATTAATAATAATTTTAATACACAACTGATTGTTCAAATATTTTTTAATAATAAAACCTTAAAATTATATACATAGAATTTAAGAGTTAATCTTTAAACATTAGAAATTTATCCTTCAGTAATACTTATAGATATTGATCTTGTAATAGATGTTGCTATTATTCAAACTTATTTTCAAATAAGATATTTGTATTATATTATATATATAAGATAAAATCTTTTTAAAAATTTAATAAGTAAATTACATAAAGATTATGAAACTTTTGCTTAAAAATCCTTTTAATAATAAACTTGATATTAAAACTTTAAATATGAATATATATAACTAATTAAAAATTATCCTGCTATAAATATTTATCTTAAACATTTATATGATTATTGTATATCATTTTACATTAATCATTATTTTTTAGATAATTTCGTTTGGATTATAACATTTATTTGATTTTTTATATTTATATTTTTAATTTATTTTTTTAATTTTTAAATTCAATTATTTTATATTATAATTGTTAAATGATATATTAAATTTTTTAAAATAAAAATTAATAAATTAATTGTTTAATTATAATAAAAAAATATAATTAATAATAAAAATAATAAAATAATAATATTTTAGAAAAAATTTACATATCATATTGTAATAAAAAAAATTTATATTGATTTATTTAAATTGAAGAAAAAAATAAAAGATCAAAAAAAATACAAATAAAATTTAAATTCTATTTAATTTTTTTTATATATTTTTTTTATTACCTAATAATTATATGCCTTATCCTAATCATATTTTTAAAAATTATCTGACTTAATAAGCAATATTATTAAATATTAATTTAATGATTCAATATCTATCCTATTTTTTTTTACATAGGTTTGGTAAATTTATAAAAAATATTTTCTCAACTTATACATTAGATAAAGAAATAATTAAAGATATTCTAACTAATTTAACAATATTTGAAAATTAATTTAAAAAATCAGGATACATATATTCTTAATACTTACTATATCTCGATCTCTAATTTATTTTATATAATATTTTGCTATTCTCCATTATTATTTTGCTTTATCTCTATTAATTATTTTTTTGAAATTACTTTCTACACTATTCATTTTATCTACTCTATAAAAAACAATAAGTTTTTAATATCTTTATTACCATCAATTCACAATTCACTTTCTTTATTAGTAATACTTCAGATTAAATATATAAAAGGAATAATATAAATTAGATTGTAGAAATCTAAATTTAAGACTTTTAATAATTGTTTCAGAAAATTTTTTTGATAAATGATGGTGAATTATTTGGTAAAATATTATAATTTTGTAAGTACTATATGAAGAAATAGATTCATCAATCTCAATATTGTGCTATTATTATATCATATATTACATCTAAATGAATTTTAATATCTGAAAAACTAACATGTTCTTTTTGGAATATATTAATTAATTTTGTTTTAAATCTGCAAAAAATTAGCAAATTCATAATCTAAATCTTTAAGTAAACTTTTAGCTAAATTCTGATAAGATAATTTTCACTAAATTGAGCATCATAGTGCAGCGCATTGATTACTGAATTCAGAATTTAATGTAAATTTTTTACACAATTAGACATTGATAACCATCTTGTATTAACTATATTAAGATGTTTAATTAAGGATCTTCTAATGCGTCTTTTAATATTTTTAAATTTTGCATTTGTCAAAAAGAACCTGTAAATAATGATATAATTTTTAATATTATTTTCATAATGATTAAAATGTGGAACATACTTTGCTGCATCTTTTCCAGCTAAATGCAATACAATACACAGATGTAATAAAAGAATTAAATTTTTACAATTGTTTAGCAACACCTATTTTTGTACCAACTAATGTTGCGGCTTCATCACTATCAAAATGTAATAAATCTTTGATTTCAAATCCTTTAGTAAGAATAAAATTTTTTAAATTTAAAGTAAGAGCATTAGCATTAAGTTTTTCTAAATTCATTATTCCTATATAGTCCCGTGATTAAGAAGGCGCAGTAACCGTCAGATGTCACAAAGATATTTTTGACGAACTTCGCATTTTACTCCAAAACGTTAATCATGTTTATTTTTAGTATGCTTATTATTTCAATACAATTATACTAACGCTAATAAGTTCCGACCTTGTTGAAATACCAAGGGAAATTTGCCGATTTAGTGAATTTTTTTTGACAAGGGACACTTTATTGTATAACCATTTCTTTAATTAGAAATTTAATTCTATAAATTAATATTTAAGAGAATAAACAAACGATAGAGTCAAAATTCGAGTCTGTATATTTCAAAGTGTTTACCTCGTTTCCTGTTTTTTATGATAATAGATAAATAAAGTAAGGGGAATTAAGGAATAAAAATTTGTTCAACTTGATTTCGAAACCTAGGGGAAATCAAGAAAGTTAATTTCACAATTTTGTAATATTTGGTTCTTGTAGATATACTGTATATCATTCATTCAATTTAATTATAAAAAGGAGAATGAATATTTTTTCATTCCTCATAAACAAATTGACACATCGCTTTGTTTGCGTAACCAGCAATTCAGTTCGTTTAATATAATAGGTCAGTATCCGAAAATCGATTCCAAAAAGGTTTAATTCTTTGAGGATATTTGATAGATAAATAAGGATGATAAACCACTATGCTATTGTAATATACCTGATTAATTTTTTTTTTTTACGGATATTACTTTGTTCTTCAAACTAAAAAATTCGCCACATGTGGCCAAATTGCTTATAAATACCCTGTTAGAAATGTGACTTATAACCTTTCTATTTTCTCGCTGCCCAAATTTTTTTTTCAAAATAAAAAAAACTTACTATAATGTCTGAAAAACCATGGCGACTAAATGTTGATATACCCACACCATCACTTGGTACTCCCAATTCATCAACTTTGGATGTTAATTCAGTAATAACTGAAAACGATGAATTATCTTTAGGGAAAACTATTACGATTACGACGAGTCAACATAACTTGAAACAATTCTATGGTAATATTGAAGATGATAAAGGAGATGAAGAACCCCCAGTTACCTCTAAAGAATTAAGAGGATGGTATATGTATAATGCTGCGGTAGGTTGAATCTTTTTCCATAAATATTTCTTTTACATAAATATCACGCAAATATTACGCCCACCTTCAAAATCTTAATTTTCACACACACCATATTAATTTAGACTGAAGTTTATAGCGTTGTTGCTATAACGGTTTTTATACCCATCATATTAGAAAATTTAGCGGGTGAGGCAGGGTTTCTGTTGGACCGCGTGACCCCTTGTGATACCACCATAAAAGATTACAAATGTGTTACGAGATATGGGACAGGGTTCGTTGATACAGCAAGTTTTTCCTTATATACCATATCAATATCAGTACTTATCCAATGCCTGGTATACATTGGTTTTGGATCGCTTGCTGACCATGGAGAAAATCAAAAAAAGTTACTTATGTTGTTCTCATATATTGGAGCAATTTCAGTCATCGCTTTCTTATCAGTGGTCAATTCAAGCCTGTACTGGTTAGCAGGACTTCTTACAATCATATCGTAAGTAACATATATACAGTATATTTGTTAATTATTTATGATTTTTTCATTTATTTTAAGAACGCGCGTTAATGGGTTGAATTTGTTGTAACAGTAACGTATGCTTTGGAGCTGGATTTGTATTTTATTTAGCGTACATTCCGGTATTCACGCGAGTACATCCACGCGTCATTGAAGCCAAAAGTTCAGGTGTATCAATACAGGATTTATCAAGGATCGAAGAAGAAGTAGCAAATAGATTGTCATCACATTCAATGGCGATAGGATATGCGTCGGGGGTATTGATATTAATAATAGCAGCAGCAATTTCATATTTGATGAATGGAACTACTTACAGTCTTCAAGTAGGAACGGCGTTAGCTGGTGCATGGTGGTTAATGCTCTTAACATTTCCATTAATTTGGTTACAAAGGAGAAAAAGTCCACCATTACCAAATGGAGAGAATTTTTTATTTTATTCATTCAAGAGAGTTGGTAAAACACTTCAGTCAACAAGACAGTTATTTCAAACGATAAAATTTTTAATATCTTGGTTTATACTATCCGATGGCTTTAATACCATAGCTTCGGTTGCAATCCTATTTGGGAAGAAGTCGCTTAATATCGGTAACACGGAATTGTTGATCGCCGCGGTGCTCATTCCCATCAGTGCATTTGTCGGTGTTTATACCTTTTTATTTATACAACAAAAATTTGAATTATCAACAAGAACAATGATATTAATTTTAGGAACATTACATTCTCTAATACCGATTTATGGATTACTTGGATTTGTGAGTCCTATCGGATTGAAATTTACCGTAGAGATTTATATATTTGCAATATATTTTGGATTGGTATTGGGAGCCCTACAAAGTTATTGTCGTGTTTTGTTTGGAAGCATGATTCCGAAAGGACACGAGAATGAATTTTTCGGTTTATATGAAATTACTGATAAAGGATCAAGTTGGATTGGTCCTTTGGTGACAGGATTTATCGGCGATTTAACTCATGACTTAAGATATTGTTTTTGGTTTCTTCTCGTCATGATGATCATACCATTACTTTTAATATACACTGTTAATGTTGAACAAGGTAAAAGAGAAGCTGAGCTTTTCGTTGAGAAAGAACAAAAAGAAAAAAATTTAAAACGTAAAATTTAATTTAATTTAAAAATAATTTTAATATAGTACATTATTATTTATTAAGAAAATCCCCTTCTAGACTTATTATATATATCAAGAATTATTGATCTTTCCAAAAAAAGTTTAGAAATGTGTTATACTCAAATGGACGTTAATTAAATGAATGAGCGAGAGATATACGTAATGATGTTTATTGTACAATGAATATGACTCATAATCCATACTTGTAATTCCCCTCAAATAATATTCCGACACGTAAATGTAAAAAAATAAGAAACGAACACGAATTCCCAATTACCCAAAATTTTTCATTTAGTTTTATTTCTTTGAGCAATATATATATATTAATTCTTGTGACACAAACGTAATCACCAGAACATTCCAAGAGAAACATTTCAATTTATTTTCTCACAGTCGCCTAACATGACAGATTTTCACGCCTTTTATTGGCGTAACATCACGTAGGTTGCAATTAGTTTAGACCAATCATTTAAATCAATACATTTGTGGTTCATAACAGGTTTTTATTGTGATCACGTAGATTAGGTAACTTGTTGATATATATAAATTAAGGCAAATGTTTATTTTGATGTTTATTCCGTATAATGCCGGGGACAACGAATTTTTTTTTTCTTTTTTTTTTTAAAAAAAAAAATGAGATGGCTAAAACATTCATCTATAAAAAAAAAGTTTTTCCTTAATTTTTTTTTTTGAATCCCTTTTATAAGTTAGGTTTAAATTTGCTTATCATTTAACTCTGAAACATTATATAAATTTATTAGTAATTTTTTAATTTTTGAAATAACGTTTGTGATATCGTAACAAAAATAGTTTAGATTATGTCTCATGACAACATTCTTAAAAAAAAAATACTTGTTACACGATTTTGATAATGCACATGTAAATCCAGATGATACTAAACAACACAATTCTATCAATTATATCAAAAAAAAAAAAAAAAAAAAAAAAACACTATAAAAGGACTCAAATTTTCCTCTCATCTCTTTCCTTGTGAACATTTTAGTTTTTTTTTTAAAAATTTGAGATTTTTAAATAATATACTAATGTGAATTCTATAATCACAATAACCATAATAATAAATAAAAAAAATTTCTTACGCCCACAAACATTTGAATATAACGAAGTTTAACCCGATTTTTATTTAAATCATAAAATTATCGTATCATCTACGCCACACGAAATCATGCCTGTACAAGTTGCCACCGGTGATAGGTTCCGTGATAATTGTAAGTTGATACTTGAAAAGAATTTCATGATTGATTTTATTTCATTTTATTTATTTATTTTTTTTTTGTGAAATAACATCAATCAATTAAATCTAACATTCTATAATTAAAGATTTCGAAGAAATTACATTAAAGAAAATATTCTATTCATTCATTCAATCATAGGTATCACTTTACTTCACAAAGCACTCTTGGGTGATGATAAAACAACGATTAATGAAGGTAAACCTTTTATGCTTTTTGATCAACTCGAAAAACTTTTCTACACTTTACAATTGATTAACTTCTTGAACCCTTCTTTCCTCCAATAGCAGAGGAATCTCGATTGGCAGAGAAAGCGAGACTTATCGAACATTATATCTACCGAGATTCCAATTTCACCGTCAATAAACATTATAAAGACACAGCTCGTAGTAAGATTTGGAATTTAAAAGATAAGAAGAATCCTAAATTACGGCGAAATGTTGCTGAAGGTATAATTAGTGAAGAGTACTTTGCAAAAATGGACGCGGAGGTAATGTATCATCACATCTTTGGTTCTTCAGTTATTTTGCACACTTTTTCTCATTGGTCAAGTATATTAACTTTACTTTTACTACCTTTTCTTTCTGTCTAATTTAGGCGATGGCTTCAAAAGAACGAAAACGTCAAAATACAATGATTCGAAAGAATTCGCTTGCGAGTTCAATTGCTGTTGCCGATTATAAACCAGTACAATATTATTCGGATCCAAGTGAACCAAAGATTACCCTTAGTGATCGTGCTGGTAATCGGGTTTGGAGTGGAACGGATATGGATTCAACAATATGATGGTCCCGCTTGTTCATGAAATCAACTTGCGCGCTTTTTCTTTTTTTTTTTTTTTTTTTTTTTTTTTTACAATTATAATTGTAAAGATTGTAAAGGATAAAATTTGTTAGTTTACACATTTTTCTCTTTTTAAAAAAAGAAAAAAAGAAGTAATATTCGCGTTTTATCGAAAAATTTTGTTCCCCTCTCATCAATTATTTTCTTTTAAGCATTCATTCAAAATTGTAGTTATTCAAAATATTCTAAAAAAATTATTATTATATTATCATTTTCTTTCTTCATATCTGAAAAAAATTCATAATAAACATAATAAAACCTTTACATTAAATATGTTAAATATTCAGTAAATCATATAACGTGAATTATGCAGTCATACGTGTTTACTCATTTTTTCAATTGGTGATTTCTGCACAAATATTCATGTGACTGTTACACTGATATTCCTTGATCATTTTAGATTAGATCGGATCGCAAATTTAACCTTGTATGTGATCAAGAACGATCTACAATAGGCCAAAGTTGATCGTCGACCAATAAATTCGATTTTTGCGATCAATCAAAAATGTAGATCGTATCTTCTTTTACATCTTGCTCGACATTAAAAATAAATTTTTTTTCATGACGATCAAAATGCCGATCGAATTTCTAGATCAATTATAATAATTATAATCCAACTTGTACTTTAATTGCTACATCAAAATTTAGCATCCTAAATTTAAAATAAAAATAAAATAAAACACTTAATTGCAAAGAGTAGGTTTACTAACTCATTTTTTTAACAATTCTTTTTCTATTAGAACTTGCTTTAATCTTTAAATTATTTATACAATTAAAAATATGGTCATTTATAAATTATTAAAATTAAAATTCATATAATTAATAATATATTTATCTAATAAAAGTATATAACTTAATATATTATTAAATACAAATATATTGAACTATTGTGTATAATTTATGTGTACAATATTTTTTTTAAAATGTCCAAATCTGAGAACTCTCTGAATTTGAGCGAGATGAAATAATTGGCCTTTGGAAAGGTGGTCATGTTGAGCAAGATATTGTAAATATTCTTGACCATCCTAAATCAACCATTTATAATATTATTGAAAAATATAAAATTGAACACCAAAATTCCAATGCTTCTAGGTCTGGCAGACCATCTAAATTAATAGAGAGAAATGTTAGATGTTTTATAAAAACTGTTAAAAAGGATAGATAACAATCCTTAGATGAAATTACAAAAAAATTCAATCAGATATCAATAGCTTTAGTAAGTTCTAGTAATATAAAGCGTATTTTACATAATAAAGGTTTTTATGGTCATGTTGGAAAAAGAAACCCTTTAGTATCTGAAATAAATTGTAAAAAAAGGTTAAAATGGTATTATTCTAAGAAAGATTGAGAATCTGAGTGGAATACAATAATATAGATTGATGAGTCTCACTTTTTATTATTTCAAAATGATGCTCATCACTAAGTCTGACGTCATCCTTATAAAAAATATGATATAAGTTGTTTAATTTTCACAATAAAGTCAGGAAATCAAGGTATTATGATGTGAAAATGTTTTACTAAAAATAAGATTAGACCTTTAATTCAAGTTTCTGGTAGAATCACAGGTTCTGTATATATCGATATCTTAAATAATAATCTTTATCCTTTATTGATGAGTTGAACACTAATTTAAAATATATTTTTCAAGATGATAATCCTCCTGTTCATTAATTAAATTAAGCATTTGTAGGATATTTTAGAAAGAAAAGTCTATAAACATAAGCTATATCCAAAAAATCTTAATGAATTAATAGTTATTTTAAAGGAAAAGTGGTATGAAATTAAACCAGAAATTTTAGAAAATTTAGTAAAAAGTATACTAAAAAGAATTCAAGCTGTAATAAATAATAATAACAATCTGATTAAATATTAATTTTATAAATAAAAAATTCATATTTTTATGAATAAAATAAAAAAAAATTTATTCAAATTCACTTATTAATTTTTTTTATAATTTAAAAATAAAAATTGATCACAAATTTAAAAGTTGTGATAACTTTTTTTTTGATTCAATACTTTTAACTAGAAAGTATACATATATTATATAACATAAATATATACAAATTTTTACTAAAATAGATAAATTACATAAAAAAAGTTAATTTATATAAAAAACTAATATAATTTTCTATATTAATAATAAATTTATTATCTTATATATATATTTTTTTAGTTTAAAATTATATACTATATTTTACTGTCTAAGAAGATTACTAAAAAAATCAGATTTTTTAAATTATTTAATAAAATTTCAATTTTTATTTGTATTTTAATTTTTGATATTATATGATTAAAATATAACCTATCTTAATTTTAATTAAAAATTCTTAAAACTTAAATCTTTTAATAATCTTCTTATATATAATTATAATATTAAATAATTAGATAGTTTTAAATAAGCTTTAAATACATTTTAATATTTAAAACTTTAATTAAAATATTTAATAATCAAATAATATAAGCTGTTTATGATTAAATAATATAATTATATTATTTAGTCATAAATGGCTTAGATTAGGTTATCTAGTAATAAAATAATCTAGGTATGATTAAATAATCTAAATATAACTAAATAATCTAAATATGAATAAATAATCTAAATATGACTAAATAATCTAAATATCACTAAATAATTTAAAGTTAATAATCTAATTATGATTAAAAAATCTAATTAAATAATCTAATTGTAATGATTTATTATACTTATCTATTTTTTCTTATCCTGATGAATTTTTTTTACTATTAATGTACAGTGACTAAAGATTAGCAGAAGGCATATCTCAATTAAGATAAGCTTTTATTTTATATTAGATAACCTCTCTAAGTCTCCAATCTCATTAAGAGGTATAGCAACCTACTTAAAAACATATCCTTATACAGTTACTATCTAATATAGATCACTAAAAATTTAAATCAGATCAGATTTTTGTTTGACCTGATCTGATTCTCTCAGTTCTAAAAACTTGATTAACCTGATCTGAACTGACCTATTTAAAGCTTTAACCAATTTAATATAAGAAAAAAAATTCAGTTTTCTATTATTAAAGAAGTATTTACTATCTGAATAGATAAAGTACTTCAAGCTGGATTTATTCTCACTGAAAGTATTCTAACAACAAAGGCATTAGATTTTGCCTTATTGTGTAATGAAAAAAAATTTAAAACATCAAACAGGTGGCTTGATAATTTTAAAAAGAGATACAATCTTAAGCAGTACAATATTTATAGAGAAGCAGGTAGTATACCAATTTAAGATCTTGATTTAATGAGAGAAAACTTTATCAAATACTAAGGAATTATGATTCAAAATACATTTTTAATTGTGATGAGACAGGTCTCTTTTGAAAAATAAGATCAATTCATATAATATCTAATACTCCTATGGCTAAGACTAAGCAATCTAAGGATTATGTAACTGTTTTATTTACCTACAATTCAATTGGAATTGAAAAATTGCGTCTCTTATTCATACATAAATATGAAAATCCCAAAGTGCTCAAAAATATTACTAAAAATTCCTTTCTGGTCAAATATTATTAAAATAAAAAAAGTTAGATACAGGTCTCTATCTAGAATGATTATTTTAAAAAATTAGATTCTCAAATGAGAGTACAAAATAGGAATATACTTTTACTTGTCAATATTAATCTAATACATATTTTATATAAAAATACAACTCTTACAAATATTGTTATTGAATACCTTCTTCTAAATACTACATTCCATTTTCAACTCTGCGATCAAAGAATTATTAATAATTTTAAAGTAAGAAGTAAACTTTATTTGTTTACTGTAATTGTTTTAAATTTAATATTAATTTTTTTATTTTAGGCATAATATAGAAAGTTATATTTGCGTAATTAAGTTAAAGCTTTTATAATTTTAATAAATATAGCAATGAACTTAAGAAAATTGATATTAAAAAATATATTAAATATATTGCATATGTGTGAGATAATGTTACAAATACTATAATCAAAAATTGTTAGTTAAAGGCAGGTATTATGCCTGAATATAGTGAGTTAAATGGTGATGAAAGTGTCAACTAAAGATGGTAACCATAATTAATATATTGTAATATATAATGTTATCCCTTAAACTGTAAAGATTCATAGGCAAATTTGCCTGCTTATTTACTATAAATTCTCTTCTGATTTACTTTATGAAAAATTAAAATTTTTAAAAAATTATTATAATAAATTTTTCAAAACTTAATTTTAAAAATTGAATTATTTA